GCTCAAAGCCGAGTCGACGCCCAACGCGCCCTTCAACAGCTCGCCTGTCTTCTCGGGCCGCTTCGCATCGAGCTCCATCTTCTGCTCGCGTCGTTCGGCGGCTTTCCGCGCTCGTTCAGCCGCTTGTCGTTGAAGCGACATCGATTCTTCGAGGGAGAGCGAGTTGGGGGCATTGGACTGCGTAGGGACTGAGTCAGCGGGAACGCAGTCCAAGGAAAGGGGAACGACACGCACCAGCACTTGTGCAGCTATTCTTCGCTTAGCGCTGGGCGAAATAGCCTCTTCGGCCGGGCCGTCCTCTACGACACCCTCCATTTCTCCCCGTCCATCTCGCTCGTCCTCCTCCTTCTTGACCTTGCGCTCCTCCTCTGACTCGAGGTGAGTCGACGCGAGCTCTTGCTTGATCTGCGACATGCTTTGCAGGTCGTGGAGGCGGGATCGAATGCGTTCTTGTTGGTTTCGCAAGCGTGAGTCGCCGCCTGGGAGGTTGGCAAAGGTGTCGCTGTGCAGTCGAGAGTGGTCAGCGCAAAACCTAGCACACCAGCAACTCCCTCGCGACTCACGGACTGTCCAGGAGCCGCGCGTTCCGCTCAAACATCGCCGAAAGCTGCTCGACGGACAACTCCTTAAGATCCCGCTCCTTCCCCGCCGTAGTCTTGCGCAGGAACGGGCTCTTCCGCTCGCCCCTGACTATCCGCGCCTGCGCACGCAGTTCAGAGAAGTTCCTAGGCGGGATGCGGCGAGTTGAGTGCCCCGAAGTCTGCGAGGGCTGATGAGGATTGGGAGGCGCGGCGGACGACGACGACGGCACGGGTGGAAGCGAGTCGCACTTGGCGGGTCGTGGGAGGTGCAAACCGTGCATGGCAGCGTCTGTCAGCCTGTTCAGAGCGGTGGCAAGCGAGAATGGCGGGGTGACGAACTCCATCAGTTTGGCGGAGTCCCTTGTCCCGCGACCAGTCACCGCTCGAGCTCGCACGGCTTTGCGACTGGCTCAGACGCTCGCTGGACTCTGATCTGAGCGACCACAGCTTGTCCCGTCCGCGCCGCTCTCTTCGCTCACCTCCCTGGCCTCCTCGATTCGGTACCGACCTCGGTCAGGATGACGGGGGCGTAGGCGAGACCCGGGATGCAGAGCGCTCTGAGTTGAGTTCGTGGGCCGCGGTCGGGTTCAGACGGAGCATCAGCTGGCACCGTCACGGTGACACACCTGCCTCGAGGCCGTTCGCACACCTAGACCCCCTGCCGCTGTCCGACCGGTGCTGTCCTGGGCATGACCTTGCTTTCTGCTCTATGAACGGCAATCCCTTGCTCGTCGAGGCATCGTCTACCGCGGCCTTGAGCTCGCTTCATTCGCTCACTCCCGCCGTTTCTTCGACCGGGACTCTTCGCTGCTCCCGCTTGGCTCACACAGTCGCCTTCGTCCAGTCTGCCAATTCTGCAGGTCGGGCCACAGTCATCAAGGAGGAGCCCATCGGTCTCGCTGGGCCCGCTGCAGTCAACGCTGAGGCAAAGGAAGACGAAATCCACAGCATCAGTCAAGACCAGTTTGTCGTACCCTCTTTGGCGTGTCCCTGCAAACGAAGTACTCCTTGGAGTGCGTGCCAGTGTTTCAAGTGCCGCAATTGGCGAAGAAAGCTGTCGCCTTGCTGTTGCTCCTCCTCTTCCTCGCCCTTGACCAGCTACACAACACTCCGACTCGCTCGCCTCGCTTCGCTGGTTAATGTCCGGGCCGTCTACGCCTGGATCTTCACACCCAGACCCTCCACAGCTCCCTTCAATCCCTCGTCTCGCTCCCTTCGACTCCTCACCTCCTGCACCGCCCCACAACGCCGACGTCGACGCTCACACGGCGCGCACAGCGGGCGAGCGGAATGCAGACGCATCGCTGCCTCCCGAGCATCCCGCAGACGACCTCCCGCCGACCTACGACGCGCTTCGCGCGGCCGAGCCAAACAACCCGCGCTTTGCGAGGTGGGGAGGATGGATCGAAAAGCGCGCCCAGGAGCGGCGGGCTGAACGACAAGCTGAGCGAGAATCGGGCGCAGCGCAGCGCACGAGCTGGAACTTGCCGAACGACGAGCCTGAGGACTTGCGGCGAGATCTGAGCGCGCGATGGAGGGACAACGAGGCAGAGAAGCGGCTGTCGAGGGAGAGCGTTTTGCAGGTCGTCAATGCGGACGTGACGAGCGCATCGATGCCGTCGTCGAGCCAGACGACGCGAAGGAGGACGGAGAGTTCGGCGTCGTCTGCTTCGACTTCTCGCTCGAAGCTGTCAAGGAACGTCGAGATGCACCGTGTCGGGTCTCGCTTCGACTGCGGGATACCTGAGCGACCGATTTGCGCATGCGTGCTACCCGGCGGAGGCGTAGTGAATGGCGACGAGCGGTAAATCGCCTTGGATTGCCTGGACAGTCCTGTTCTGGTCGACTAACGCCCACTTGGTCATCCGCAGCTTCGTCCTGATTGGCACGCATACCGGTCTGTTGCTCACCTCTGCAGTACAATGGAGCGCCGCTGACGACGACGATCCGAGCAGGCCTCTACCTCCTCGACAACCGACCTACCTCCGCCTCGATCCCTCTCTCGACCGCCGCTTCTTCCGCGGAAGCGCACATTCTGCCATTGTGGACAGGCCTCGGCATTCGCCACCTTGAGGTGTACGCGGAGCCGGCACTCGGCAAAGACTCGCCTCAGGGGCTTGTCCTCGGGCTAGTCGAGGAGAATGGCGCGCCGAGCTTGAGGATGTGGACGCTGGCGAGCCTCCTCAACCTGGTCAAGTGGCGAATATACGATCAGGCGTGTCTTGTCTGCATGTCGCGGCAAGGGACTTTCGCTCATCAGGTCTTCGTGCTGGCAGAACTCGGTCTCTCTTCCCCTCGGATCGCGCGCCAGCAAGTGTAGCGCCGACCGACACCCCTCTTCCCTCGCCTACGCCAAGTCGTTCGTCGGGTCGACCTCGCCGAAGCGTCGGAAAGGCAAGAGTCTCGGCTCGCCTCTCCAGCCCACGGCACATGCGCATAACGACTCGACAGAGCCGGGCTACCTCTTCGTCGAGACGAGCACACCTGCAGACGTTGGGGCCGATTCGCCTACGGCTTCTCTCCGCTCTCTCAACCGACTCTCGCTTGCCGACTCGCCAAACGCGCCGCAACCTCCGCCTCTTTCCGACGCAGAACGTCTCGCTACTCCGCTCGACTGGGCTCGCTCTTCTGTACCACTCCCTTTACCGGCGGGAAGCGGCGAGATCCTCTTCTTCCAGCTCAGTCGTTCGCCTGATCCCGCTCCTTCGGACGACGAAACCGACTCGCCCGACTCGAGTGACGGCTTTGAGGATGACCCGGCAGCCTCTCGCCGTCGAAAGACGAAGCAGGACGAGCGAAGTCGGCTTTTCCTCTTCGTTGCGACGCCGAAGTCGATCTTTCTTTATGAGAGCCGACCGAGTGGGAGACGGAGCTGGACGCTCACTAAGGAGTACTTCGTACGTCTCGCCGTCAACAACGAAGTGTAAGAAACTGACGCTCTCTAGCGCAGGCCCCGTCAGCCCCTCGTTTTCTCCGCCTCATCCGCACGACTGGCCAAACACTCCCCGCGCCCTCAGCCTCCTCCTCACTCGCTTCCACGCTTTACTCGCCTGACCTCGCCCTTCTCGTCGGTCTTCCACACCACAGCGTTCTCATCCGGCTGTGCGATTCGAGCGTCACCGAACTCTCGCTTCCTCCCTCATCCACGACGACCGGCTCTCGCAGCCGCTCTTCGTCGAACACCTCGCTCGCCTCGCTCTCCCCCACACACCGCAAGGCGCCTTCGCTCGTACCGCTACTCAAGGAGCTCAAGGACCACCCGGTCGTTGCGAAGGTCGCAAGGTTCGTCGAGGGCGAGAAGGGCGTTCCGGCGGGTATGAGGGGTGCGGACGGGCCGATCCCGAAGGGCAAGCGGGTGAAGGACGAGGAAGGAGGACTCGCATCGAGCACGAGTCTGTCGGCGTCTGCGCAGGGGAAGTGGACAGGCTGCGAGGAGATCACGGTCGACACTGGTAGACGATCTGTGCGGCGCCTCCTCCTGCTCACAAAGGGCACGACGACGTATCTCGTCGCGTCGCCTCTACATCTTGTCTCGCCAGTCTCGCCCAGTACCGCTCATTCGGCTCCTCACGTCGTTCCCCTCCATACCTTCCACTGGCCAACACTCGGCTCGTCGCCCGCCTCTTCTCTCGCGCATCTCGCCGCCTACGTCTCACCTCTCGAGAACGACTCGAGCTTCTCGCACCTCACTCTTGTCGGCTTCAGCTCGACCGGCTTCAGCGTCCAAGAGCACCTCCTTTCGCACACGGCCGTCGAAGCGGCTTTCACCTCGTTCCCCGTCTCCTCTTCTCACACCTCGACTCTCGCTCGGCTCATCCTTCCCCTCGACACCCTCCCCGCTCACGCTGCCAACGACGACGACGACCCCGACTTGAGCGACTCGGCGACCCTCGACTTTGGGCGCGAGACAGGGTGGCTGTGCGCGACGAGGAGTGGCGGGTGGGGTGAGGAGTCGACCGGCGTAGCGAGAGGAGGGTACTTGTGGACGCGGACGCAGGGAGAACATGTCGTCAAGCGGGTCGGCGTGAAGTTGTAGATCCTCGTGTGCTGCAGGCAGCTTTCACGGAATCAGAAGGAGAAGAACGGAGAGTGTTGCGCGTAGACCAATGCCGTCGGCTTGTCGAAGCAGAAGCACGAGAGGGAAGTAACCAAGCTCTCCTCAAGCAGCCGCGCAAATCATCTTTTGTGAACTCCCGCTTCGCATTCCACGCACAGACCGCGATCCGAAGGTGCAACAAAAGGAGAGGAGAGCGCGACTCGCTCGACCCGCCCTTCATCGGCTCCTCGAGAAGACCGGCTTAGCGACCGAAGAGGATACCGTCGAAGCGCTGCTTGAACCAGGCCTGCGGGCGTGCGAGCGAGTCAGCGAATGGAGGGAAGAGAAGGAGAGGGGACGGAACGGACCATCGTCTCCTCGCGCTTGACGCGGTGCGAGAAGCCGACGCGCGAGGTGCAGTGCTTGCGGCGCGCGACACGGCCACCAGGTCGGCCCATGACGACGTCTGGTTCGTGGGAGAAGACGGGCGCATAGTCAGTACGGTGGTGCGGATATCTGGACTGGCTGCCTTCTTCGCATCCTCCTTCCACAGCCGGTCCGTCCGGCGACCACTGCCGTCTCCTGCAGGTCGTCGGCACTCTCCTCGTCACCGTCTTGACACGCTGCGACACCCTTGTGACCCGCTCCTGATCCGCACATCCTCTTCGCGTCCTTCAAGAACACTCGCCTCGCTCTCCTCGCTACCTCTCCCTCAAAGCAGCCCATCTTCGCAAGCTGCAGCCAACGAACGCAAACGCACAGAAGTCCATGCCGAAGATACTGCGCGGCGGGGAAGGCGTCAGTACTCGTGGATCCTCAGAGAGACGGAACAGCACGAGACTCACCCGATTCCGGGGTCGTACTTGATCCCCAAGTCGATGTGCTCGGCAATGCCGAACCCAAAGTTGCCAGTCTCGGAGAAGTTGCGCTTCTTGAGCTCGTACTCCTTGACCTTGAGGCCACGCTCGAGGATCTCCTCGGCCTTGGGGCCACGGATCGTAACGTGTACGGCGATCTTCTCGTTACGGCGGATACCGAAGTGGCGGACCGTGTACCGCGCCTTGGAGGTGACGGGCGTCTGACCGGTGAGCTGCTCGAGGACCTTGGCCGCACGGGTGAGCCTGCGGACGGCACGTACGAAGGTCAGACGTGGTACGGCTAATTCTAGAAACTCGTAAGAACGCTCCTATCGCCCGACTCGCCAACGGAGATGTCTGTTGATATAAGTGAGATGAGGAGGAGGAAGTTCGGGGACGAGGAGGTATTTCGGGCACCGGAAAGTCGGGGACGAGAGTGCAGGGTGCAGAAGTCGGTAGAGAATAGTGTGAGGACGTCAGCGGGCGCAGGCAGAAAGTAGTCGGGATTGTCGGCGGACGGGAAGGTGAGGAGGAGGTAGGCGGTGTTGGCGTGCGGCGGAGAGAGCAGATCCTGGTCAGCGCGCGGTTCCCAGCACTTCCCAGACCCTCCGCTTCCTCCAGCACACACTCCCAGGCCCCCCAGCGAGCGCCATCGTCCCATCGCCCGACGAGCTATGCACCCGCTCGCGTCCACCCCTGCTCAAGGCACCGAAGGAGCGCAGACTGACTGATGACCAACTTCTCGATGCGCAACTCGCGCATGGGGTTCTGAGCAGCGGCCTTGGCGTCCGACATGGTTGCTGAGCGGTGTGGATGGCGAGGCGAGCGAAAAGACGGCGAGCGGACGGGCGGGCGCGGTTCAAAGGCGGGCGGGGCGGCACGGCGGGGTGCGAGTGGTCAGTGCTGGTTTGTAGCACGCTCTGGCAGCGCACTCACGCGATTCGGGTGGTCGGGGGCGAGCAAGAGCTGGAGGACAAGCACGAGCGAGCTTGCTCAGGAGGAGACGACACCTCAACTACGCTCACACGCCCTCTTGGGCGGGTTTGACGGTGCTCAACTGCTCTTGCATCCTCACAATGACTACTGTCAACTCGAGCGAACCCGCTCGACCCGTTGCGAGGCGTGTCGGCACCCTCGCTCGCCTCCTCGACCTCGCCAGCGTCGACAGCGCCGTCACACACCTCGCGCGGCTGCATGGGCGGGTGAAGGGTGTATGTTGATGCCGGATGGACCATCCGGCGGGTCAAGCGAGGCCGGCAGTGCCGATGCGGCGGCGACGACCTCCTCGACAACTCGCCGACTTTGCTTCGCACGACCGCAGATGGCTTGCTCGACTCGCCAGGCGTTCAAAGCTACCCTACTCTGCCTCTTGCGGCTCATGCTGGCCGAGCAAGGCGAGCGGGAGCCGCCATTCCCCTAGTCGCCCAAAGTCACGCCCACCTCCACCTTCGTCGCCCACGCGCCCAGCACCGCTGGCGCCTGTTCGCTGGCGGCACAAGAGCCAGCATCGCCTGAACCGCCTTGCCGACACACCGCGCTGCAAGCAGACGGCGCAGCGGGCCCGACCTTCTCGACGACTTCGACCCGGTGGTCCGTCGAGACACGACGGCTCGCCAGCCTGCCCAGTCTTCTCTTGCTCGTTTGGCCATTCCAAATGCATTCGAGGGCCTGATGAGCCGCGCGCTCTTCGATCAGCCTCATCAAGCGATTCCTCCCACCTTCTCCGCCCGGCGGTCACCTTCCTCCTCTTCAGCGCCGTCCCAGTACAACGGCGCCGGCCAGATTGCTGGGCCCCGGCTAAACAGGCTTCCGGAACTTGCTCCAATCTATCCCACCCCGCGCGCACTCGTTGCGGAGAACACGCGCTCCCCTCGTCCGTTGCCCTGCTTCTCCGCTTCCTTCTCCTGCTTTCTTCCGTCTTTACAGGCTCGCTAAGCTATGAAGGGCCTCCACTTGGCTCTTTTCGCTGCCCTTGCGGTGGTAAGCGTCCATGCCAACCCTCTCCGCGCACGCAACTTTGGCAACGGCAACGGCAACTCCGCATCGACACCCTGGCCTCCCATTCCCGACCCTCAGTCGTACACCAAGCCCGACGGTCCGGTCAGGGTCTACCCTGTCTCGGTCAACAAAGGCTTGACGAGCGAGCACGCGAACGCGACGATCTCGCTCAAGAATGAGGGCGACCTCTTTACTCGCGAGTCTCGCTCCCTTGTGCTCTTTCTGCAGGTCGAACGCTCACAGTCGTCTCCTTTCGCAGTCGACTACGGCCGCGACGTTGCTGGTCGCCCCTTCTTCGAGGTCACAGCACTTGGAAGCCCGTACGCGCAGCTCGAGGTCAAGTACACTGAAGCCTTCAAGTCCGTTCTGCCCCTCCTCTGCCTCTTCCCCGGGCTGACGATTCCCTCTCCAGCGGTCTGAAAGTCAACTACTCCGACGGCCCCTTCCCCTTCTCGAACGGCCTCTCGTCCGAGTTCCGCGTCGAGACGCTCAACGTCACCAAGACGGGCGAGCTCGCTTCTTTCTTCATTCAGGGATCGCAGAGGTGGGAGTCGGTCAAGCTTATCAAGGGACAGGGCGTCGAGATCAAGAGTGCAGGGTTCATCTCGAGTGTCGATGAGGCGCCCGTGCGTTAGCTTCGCTCGACTTCTCCCTCGCTCCCTTGACGGAAACTGATGCGCTCGTCACACAGATCGCCTCCAAGCCGGGCTACTTCGCCTCGTCCAACTCGAACATGACAGACATCTGGAACCTCGGCCCTCGCACGCAGCAACTCGCCTGCTTCCCGCCCAACTCGCAGCCCTCAACCTGGGAAGTCGACTCGAAGAAAGGCGTCTACATTCGTGGTCAGAAACCTGCGACGACGGTCAAGGGCGCCAACGCGAAGAACTACACGCTCGCTTTCGAGGCCAACATAGACTACGGAGGCGTCGGATGGCGGCTTGATACCGAGATCGACAACATCTTCGCCGAGGGTCCTTATCGTGCGTCTGAGCAGGATATGGACGCCAACTCATCGCAGGCTGACCTTCTCTCTTCGCTTGCGCACTCCGCAGTCGTCCTAACGAGCAATTACCCTGAAGGCTCTTTCAAAAACTACAACCACTCGCTCGTTCCGCCAAACACGCTTGTGCTCGGTCGCGGCTGGTCTTTGCAGAACCAGACCACCTTGACCGGATGGCATTTGGATTCGTTCCCTGTCGGCTTCGTGAGTCTTTCCCTCTCCACTTTGTGCAGTTGTTCTCGGTGTTGACTGCGTGTAACGTTGATGTCCGCCACAATCACTCACGCTCTCGACTGACCCCGCTCCCACTCGCAGGACGTGACCGAGAAGACCTGGCACAACATCGAGACCGACTCGCCCGGCGACGGCACGTACACCGTTCGCCTCGATGGCAAGCAAATCGCGCACTTCAACCTTACCGCCTACAACGTCGGCGCTCGCCCGCCCTACTTCCCTCCCTGCGCCTACTACTCGTTCGCCTTCGGCCCGTGGCAGGACCAGGCTGCGTGGTACCGCAACGTCAACATCACGTTGGCGTCGGGCCAGAACTGGTACTCGAACCCGATGACGAGCGAGGACATCAAGGTCGAGTACGGTGTCGCGACCAACGACTTTACCGTCTGCTCCGACGCCGGAAAGCGCGACAGGTACTCGTGGCTCGGCGACCGCCAGATCTCGGCTCGCTCAGTCGAGGCTGTCGGCGAGTTCGAGTACGTCTCGGGCCCGGCCGAGCAGGCCTTCGCCCGGCAGATCGCCTCGGGCGAGGTTCCCTCCAATATGCTCTTCTCGCAACTCGACCCGCTTGGCATCCAGGGTCGCACCGAATCGCTCGACTTGATCCTCGTCGACTGGGACTCGAAGTTCTTCGACGTCATCTACCACTACTGGCAGAAGTGCGCGATCCTTTCCTTTCTTCCTTCGCGTCTCGCGCTTTGGGCTGGCGCTAATCCCTCGCTCCCGCTCGCAGGACCGGCAACGACTCGTTCCTCCAGGCTCACTGGGGCGACATGCGCGCGATGATGGCCTACGTCATGCAGACCTCGATCGACCCAAAGACGTCCTTCAGCACGAACGGCGGTTCCGGCCCCACCATCAGCTCGACCGCGCTCAACATCATCGCGCTCGAGGAGATGGTCGAGATGGGCTCGCACCTCGGTCACTCGTCGGCCGTCGCCGCCTACCAGGTTCAGGCCAACCTCTCGCGCAAGGCTCTCGAGGGTCTCTGGAACGAGACCGGCGGGTTCTACGCCTTCCCGGGCAAGGACTACATCGTCGAAGACATGGCGTGGATTGAGCTCGCCAAGATCGGCACTGCCGAGCGCCGCGACAAGTTCTGGTCGCACCTCCCCTCGCGCCAGGTTCCCGGCGGCTACGTCGACCCGCCCGCGGAGAACAAGTTCGACCTCCTCGGTGGTGGCGTCAAGATTTCGATGAACATCGCAGCCGAGCTTTTGTGGGCGCTTGGCGAGCGCGGCGACGGCAAGACTGCTCAGGACCTCGTCAAGCGGACGTACGGTCCGATGGTCGAGCGCAACGTCAACTACACTGGCGCGTACTGGGAGTTCTTGGTGCGTTTGCTCATTGCTGTTAAGCAGGAGTCACAGACATGCGCGCTTCGCAATAGCCGGACTCGGACACGAGCGAAGTCGGCTTCGAGCTGACCTTCTCCTCCTCCGGAGCTGACCTTCTCCTCCTCCGGCAGAGCGCCGACGGAACGTATCCGGGCAACGATTTAGAAACTGCGCAGAGCCATTTCTGGGGCGGTTTCCCCACTGCGTTCATGATGGAGTACGTCCTGGGCGTCAAGCCGACGACTCCGGGCTTCGCGACGTTCGAAGTCGCGCCCATCTCCGGCTGGGAGGACGACTGGGTCGAGGGACGCGTTCGTGAGTCGTTTGCAACCTTACTACTCCTCACTGTCGAAGCTGAGCTCGCCTCGAACGAGCAGCGACCCCTCACGGCCTCATCTACACTGCCTGGGGCTACGACTCGGCGGGCAAGCTCCATATGGAGGTCACGGCACCGAAGGGTACGACTGGCACGATCAAGCCGCCGTTTGAGGGCTCGTTCTCCGTCAACGGCAAGGCGGGCCAGTCGGGCACGGTCAAGGTCGAGGGTGGGAGGGTCAAGGTCACGGTCGTCCAGCAGTAGACGGCTTCGGACTGGCTAAAGAAGCGTTGGTATACCCTTGAAAGGTGTTTCGACTTTCGAAGGCGTCTACAACACCGATCACTCTCGCTCGCGAGGAGGGTCTCTCCAACTCCGCTTGATCCGAGAGACTCGCTCGTTGCACCTGGCTACGGGCTAGGGGACAGGCGTCGAGAGACCGAGTCGAGTGCGCAATCCTTCGAGCTGAAAAAAGAAGCTGGTCAGTACACGTCGCGCGCAAGAATCCGAGCGCACTCACGATCTTCTTGACCCGCTCGACTCGCTCGCCGCTTCCCTTCGCGCCCTTGACGTTGCCCACCGCATACGGTTCCTCTACAACGACCTCATCCATGACGACGAAACTCTTGCCTGCCCACCGCACAGGCAGCGTCTTTGCGAAAGCGTCAAAGAGCGCCTGCGCTTCGGACGAGACGTCCTGGCCGACTCGGGCGCGGGCAGAGCGGTCTGATGCGACTGCGCGGTCGATGCGAGATTGGAGGTCCGCTTGGGAGGTCGAGAGTGGAGGAAGGGGGGTGGAGAGGGATGGAAGGGCGACGAGGGCGGAGGAAGAGGAAGACGGAAGGACGAATACGGAGGTGATTTGCGAGGTGCGGAGGAAGTGGAATGTCCGTCGCGGGGCACTCGACGGCTGAGGAGTCGACGGTCGAGCGGCCGTGTCTGCGGGAGTCGAAGCGAGGACGACAAAGGACGAGTCGTAGGTAAAGAGGGCGCCCTCCAAGTCTCGCTGCGGCACGTCGCCTGTCGCTGCGATTGTGACCTTGATCGGCGTGTTCAGCAGCGTCGACAGGTCTGGCATGGACGAGGCGGAGGGGGTTGGTGCGGGCGAGGAAGATGATGAGGGTGTCGCTTTGCGAGCGGGTGCGCCGCCTGCAGACGTGTTTGCGAGTGCCGGAGAAGCGGTACGGGCGGTCATCGTGTCCTACGAGCTCGTGTAGATCGCTGTGAAGGGAAGTCGACTCGAGGTGATGGTGGGGAGGAAAGTGGGTGGTTGTCCTCGTCCTGACGCGCGTCTGGCTGGCTTGTTGGTGAATCGTGCAAACCGATAGTAGCTGGATAGTCGCGCACACACAGGCAGTACGGACGGGAGGACGAGGAGGAGGCGATCCGTGATTACAAAGTCGAGCAATACAGAATTTGTATTGCTTTGCAATAGAAACCGCCTTCGCTCTCTGTCCTCCTCCTCGCTTCGTCGACGCAGCTGAGGCTGACTGAGGCTGCTCAGGCGACGCCAAATAGACTCGCCGATATCGCACCTGGCCTCTGGACCCTTCGCCGCTGTCCCGCGCTGTCTGCGCCGGCATCCATTTCCGCTCATCGTCCCAAAAACAGCTCGCTCGCAGCACTCGCCGCGCAAGATTGCGGGAGAGAGTGCGGCAGCGGGAGCCAGATCGCTGATTGACACTTGCAGCCGGCCGGAGTCGCGCCGCGCTGGGACTGGTGGCATGCTGCTCGCTCGTCTCTGCGGACTGCGCTATCTCTCGTCCAGTCGCCGCTGTCCTCGGTCCGCTATGCCTGCTTGATGCCTCGCACATAACCGTCCGAACAGCCTCGCCAACCGAATGGACGCAGCGAGAGGGGAGGCAAGAGCCGCCCCTTCCTCCTCCTCACGCGACTCGACCGCAACTTCGTCGACCGAGACTCTCGCCCTCACAGTCTTCTCAGCCACCTCAGCAGACGATGCCGAGCGCGAGGATGGCCAGGATGGAGCAACCGAGCCTCTCCTCGCTCGCGATAAGGCCGCTTTAGGGGCGTTTCTTGACGAGGAGAAGGCGTTGACGGCTGCGCAGCGACCGCCGAGTCGATGGCGTAGAGTTTTGCCTCTCGCAGGAGCGGCTGTCGTCTTTGGCATGCTCGTGTGGAGCAGCGCGACCTTCATTCGTGTCCTCCTCCAACAGCGACATGGCGTGGTTCCTTCTGTCACCCTGCCGTCTACATCCGACTCGACGAACGCCTCGACTCTATCTTTCACACAACAGTACCTGTCCGATACCTCGAACTCGAACGTGGGCGTCATCCCCTTCCCTTCGACACTGTACGACCCCGTTCTCCGCCCCAAACCGCTCGACCACACCTTATCGACTGGAAGGTGGACGCCCCGGTGTCTCGAGCGCTACATCGCATCAGGCGTTCTATGTGACGAACTCGACGGACGGTGGAAGGACGCCCCACCAAAACTGGACGTGATCTGGACTTGGGTGAACGGGAGCAGTGCGGAGCTGATGGCGGACTGGCGCAATAAGGTGGCAGCCGATGGAGGGTGGCGGATAAGGCTGCGACGAGCGTTGCAAGCTGGTGCGGCTGCGGTCGTCAAACACTTTCGGTGAGTTCCGCTCATGAGCTCGATTTGCTCTTCCGCTGACCTTCTCTGTCGCAGAGAACACGACGAACTACGCTACTCGATGCGCTCGGCCCTTGCCTCCCTCCCCGACGTATCTATCGCCACGCTCCACCTCGTCGTCGGCGACACGCCCGCCTACTCGCCCTTCGCTCCGCCAGCACTCGACGCCGCTTCTCCCGCGAACGCAACTCGCTTTGCCCAAATCCCGCACTGGCTCGGTTTGTCAAACATCGGTTTGTCCGAGCCGGCTTCGACGGTCCCTTCGCTGCGAATACCATCGCTGCTCGTCCACCCACACAGCGAGCTCTTCAAGAGCGCGCAGCCTGACAGCGATGAAACGCAAGCCGCAGATTGGCGTACTTCAGTCGTCCCCAGCTTCAACAGGTGCGTTTAGCAGGCGTTTGCGCAAGATCTTCGAGCTGACGTCCGCGTCTACGACAGTCTCGCGATCGAAAGCCAATTGCCCAACCTCCCCTCGACCGCGCAGACTGCGCTCTACCTCAACGATGACTTCTTTCTCATGCGCGTGCGTCGCAGGATCGCCATCGTTTTCTCGCCTTTACTGACTTTGTCGCACGACAGACCCTCGCCTTCACCGACCTCGCCTCGCCCCTCAGCGGTCCCGTCTTCCGCATGCAGCGCGACTTGCTCGTCGGCGGTGTCGCACCTGGCACCTCAACGGACGATCCGGACGGAGAGTGGAAAGGGCTAGGCTATAGCAACTGGTTACTCGGTGCGTTGGCTTCTTCCCCCCAGCCCGAGCCTTTGCTCTGCACAGCTAACGTGTCCTGATACAGATCAACGCTTCGGCAAGCGGAAGAGGCCGTACCTCGTGCACGTAGCCAAGACGATCTCGATGCCCCTCCTGCGCGAAGTGCAACTGGTCTTTCACGAGGAGCTTTCGGCAGTGCGTCACCCTTCGCTCTTCCTCTTCCTTCCCGGGTTCCACACGCTGAAAGTCTCTCGTGAAGACTGCCGAAGCACGCTTTCGAGGTAAGGCGCCGAACGAGGTGCAGCCGCTTTTTCTTGCGACCATGTACATCATCGAGCGGCATCGCGAGGCGCTGTGCGTAAAGTTTGGTCTCCTCTTCGCCACTTCCGCGCTGATAGTTCTTCGCGCAGGCTCTGGTCCTTCCTCGTCGCCCGTACGGACGCCGACCACTCCGGCGCCTACTCCGCCAGCGAGCGGGGCGCTCTTCTCGTCGACTTGGGCGTCGATCCTGCCGAAGCTCCCCAATGCCCACTCATCGCTGTCCCACGACCTCGGCGCGACACCGTTCGCGCACTAGCAGAGGACCACGCCAAAGCCGGCCTTCCCAACCCGCTCGAAACGACGACCGAATTCTCCTCTCACGATGGCTACGCCCTCCTCGGCCTCGAAACGAAGATGCCCTTCGTCTATCCATCGAGAGAGTGGCCCGCCTTGCCTCTCTCCGCGGCACCCTCATCAGACCCGATTTGCGTTCTCGACATCAAGTCTTGCTTTGGCGACGACTTTGTCTCGCTCGACGAGCGCAAGGTGGACGTCTCGACGGTCTTCAAGCGCGTTGCGTTCGAGCAGACGCACTGCGGAGACTGCCTTATGGCCTTGTTGGTCGGCAAGAGCGGATCAAGAGGGCTGGGGGCGTTCTTGCCGGAGGAAGAGGAAGCGGTGGAGGTGGCCGAGATGCCGGTCGTCACGCTTCCAGGTTCGATGAAAACGAGATGGCAGGACGTGGACTACGCTGCGCCCCTCGACGGACCCGGAACGCTTCGTCAAAAGGTGCGTATGCTCCCCTCTCTTCGACATGTTGCACAGCTGACCAGTATCCTCCCGCAGGCCGCCGCCCTTATCCAGCGGTACTCTTACACCCTCGGTTCCTCCCCCTCATCCTTCCAATCCATCCGCTACGCCGGACCCAGCCTCTCAACCCGGCTAGACCAGCTCGTCTGTCCTCCCTCCGGCACTGCTCCTCCCGCCTTCGTCGCTCTCAACGACGACATAGGAGCGACTTCGAGCGACGCGCTTCGGGATATAGATCGAAGGATGAAGGAGTGGTTCGAGGATACATGGCCGGAGAAGGCTCCTTCGGAGCAGTAGACCGTCGAGATCGCTTGTTGTACTCATTCTTGCACTGCATTTCCATATTCTGCATGTCCTATTTGAGCCACTCGCCCTTGCGCGTCGCCTTGGCGACCTCCGACTCTGCTGTGTTCTCGAAGTACCTGCCTGTGTGAGTGCGATAAGTCAGCGGTAACTAGCGGAAGAGACGCAGGGACGACGCACGGTACACGTTCTCGTAGTTTTCGGGCAAACTTGACGTCGCCTTGACAGACGGCCTCTCTAGCACCCTGTCACACCAAGCACTGAACTCGGGTCCGACGTCCTCCGCCTTGAACCCGCGGTGCTTCTCGAGCAGCGTGAACCTCGCGACCCAAGGTCCGAGGACGCAATCGACCCATCCAAACTTGTCGCCTCGAGCCCACTCGCCGCCCTTGACGAACCATTGTTCGTGGACGTCCCTCAGAGCCTTGACAAACGCCTCGTGACCCTCCTTCTGCTTGTCGGTCTCCTGAGCCTGTACATAGCGGTAGAAAGCCGGGACGACGACGTTCGAGATCTGCTGGCAGGCGAGACGGACGAGCCCAAGCTCGTGAGGGTCACTCGGGCGGATAGCAGAGTCGGGGAAGGCGTCGTCGAGGTACTCGAGGAGCACGAGCGACTCGTAGAGCGCCTTATTGTCGTGCTCTGCAGGTCGTGATTATGCATCAGCGGTGACTTTGGAAGGAAGCGGGCGAACTGACCGAGAGCCGGGACGAGTCCTTTCGGGTTGATCTTGAGGAAGTGCGGCTCTTTTTTGTAAGGGTTCACCTCTCTGTACTCGTAGGGAATGCCTTTCTCCTCGAGAGCGATCCATACGCGCTGAACGAAAGGCTGGGAAAGAGAACGAGGGTCGGCGGATGATTAGCGGAGGGTCAGCGAAAGTCGCAAGGAGAGACGGGAACTCGTCCACTCACGCAGAACCATCCCTATAGAGCAACACCGTCAGCTACGAGCTAGAAAGAGTAGCGAAAGGCTGGCGCACGGCATGGAAGACGAGGTCGTGTGGGGACAAGTGCTTTTGGACCGTCTGCTCCGCCGCTCCCGTCGCGTGAGGCGGGTCGATCTTGTCCGGCATATTCCTGAGTGAAGTTTGGTGAAAGCGGCGGGTTGGAACAGTCGCACGAAGGGGTTGCTGTCGAGTATCGAAGGGTTGCGATGAGGTCAGCCGAAGGAGGTGGAGGTGGCTTCGCTGGACGGGGGAAGCGGGTCTGGCGGTGTAAGAGGCTCACTCTGGAGTAGCAGAGCACAGAACTGGCCAACTTGGGTCTAACCAGTCGGAATGCGAGGGATGCGGACATGCGAGAGAGGGCACTCGCAGGTTGGAAGCGACGACAACGCTACACATGCTCGCCGAGGATTCGTTCGAGCTGTTAGACTTGTTTCCAGCTGCTTCAACCTCGTCTGCCCAGCGGGTCGCGCTCCCCGCCTCTTCCCTTGCCTTCATCGGACCACTCCCAGACTCGTCGCTCATCCACCTCGCTTTGAACCATCTGCGGGCTGGAGAGGTGCCAGACTACCTCTCCGACGATGATGGAGGGCTGAGCGAAAAGGCGCGCGGGAAAAGGCGGGAGTACGAGGTCGAGGAGGACGTCGAGGCGGAGGAGCAAGGAGGTGGTCCCTCGAGAGGCGCGTCGAAACAGTCTCGCCGCGTCTTGATCGTCACACCGGAGCGGGAGGCACTGCGGAAAGAGCTGGCGAGGGATCCAGACGTCTCGCTCTTCGGGCTGCGACGAGACGGAGAGACGACTCGTCTCCTCGACTTGATCGACATCCGGTGCGGCCGCCTTTCCTATCTCTTTCGCACAACTGCTGACACTGCAGTGTTCCACAGCTACCTGCCGAGCTCCGCGCATCTCACCTACTTCCTCGCGACCGCCTACCTTCCCTCAAATCCGGCCGCTCAAGATGCTTACGCCGAATCAGGCGCCAAGAATCGCCCCGATCCGAGCTGCTTGCCGTATGCACCAACGCTAGTCATCCTGCACGACCCTTCGGAGTATCTAGATGAACCGGCGAACGCTAGGTGCTTACCTCCGTCCTGCTCTCCTTCCGTTAGACTTGCTGAACGTTCTGAACTGGCTTCGCTGGCAGTGCTGGCGCAGCCGCCTACGGCTCATTCCTCGCTCATTTCGTCTCTGCCTTCTCTGGCTTGAGCTCGCCGTGCGTCCAAGTGCCGCTGCTTGCAAAGAGCATCCTACTCACCAATTGATCGCTGCAGCCCGCCTCGACTCGTCCTCTTCGACCCATTAGCATTTCCTCTGTCGACGCACATCCTCCCAGCACACCTCCGCAGCAGCAGAAAAGGGAAGAAGCGGCCGCACGATGTGGACGAGACGAGCAACGGTGCTCCTGTCGAGGCAGAGGAGCGGGACATGATCCCGTTGCGGAGGGTTATCGAGCGGTTCTTCGACTGGGTGGGCGAGTCAGAAGAGCGTGAGTCTGACCTCTGCATTCCGTCTCGCGGGCGCTGATTCCGGATCAAGCAGTGCCCTCCCTCGGCCTTGCGTACCAAGGTCGAGAAACGTCTGCCTTTCTCCTCACCTGCCGCCCTTCACCGCGAACCGCAGCTCGCTTGCCACCGAAGCAAGCGCAGTCGACCGGAATTGAGTACCGCTTGCACCGGATTGGCGACGATGACCCGGAAGGAGAAGAGGAGGGTAGCATGCGCATCGAAGTCGTAACCTAAACAACGAGCTCTTCACACCCGAGAGGGCCTGCGCTGCGAACGAGTTGCGATTGCGAGTAGGAAGCCTGCATTGAATGCGACGAGAGGGGGTGGACAACAGGTACAACAAGAACATGCAGTGTTGGGCGATGCATAGGATCTATCGTGCGAGTGCGAGATGCTGCCGAGATGCCGATGATGGGGGTAAACGAGAGAAACGAGAAAAAGCCGCCTTCTTACATCCTCCTCCGTTCGTCAAACTCGTAACGTTGACTGCCAGACGCGCGCCGCCTGATCGAGTTGAGCCGGTCGTTCCGCCGGCGCCAGCGATTGATCGCGTCGATAGTGTGTGGGTGCTGAGTGACGAGGAAGCGGTAGGCGTCCCGTGCGTCCTCCGGGTCGAGGTCGACGAGCTCGCCTCGCGCCTCGAGCGCCGCCCTCAACCTCTCCTCGTCTTCCACCTCGATCCCCTCCTCCTTGCGAATGTGCTCCGCGTACGCCTTGGATACACGGACGGACCCTTCCTCCGTAAGCGTCTCGAGCGCCGAGTTGAGCGCCGCGAGCGTGCGGTTGAACGGGTGCCACAGCATCTCGGTGTGCTTGCGGAAGCCGACGTCGAGAGCGTCGGCGAAGCCGAGACGAGGCGCTTCTTCGGGCTCGGTTTCCTCGCCGTCGACGATGTCCTCACTCGCTGAGGGCGTCTGCGGCTCGGGACCGTTGGCGCGAGTCGACTGAGTAGCCGCATTGCGGGGATCGTTCTCGTCCGTGAAGGAGAGGCGGAAGGGCTGGTCAAAGGTGCGGTCGTCGAGGAGGGCATCGATGTCGATAGACTCGGGGGGCTCGTCGTCAGGTCGTCGGCGGACCGCCCATCGCCGAGTAGATGTGCGGCCGAAAGCGGACGCGCGGGTGACAGAGGCGAGCTCCTGAGCGAAGGCGGCCGTCTGATCCTCCAAGTCGAAGCCGGCCTTGACGCCGTCGGGCGCAAAAGGTCGGCAGAGGACGTGCTCAACGATCCAGAAGGCCCGCTCGAGCTGCAAATCCTGGATGAACCACATCGCGAGGTTGTTCCAGTTCGCCGAGTCGAAGGCGAAGCCTTGCCGTGCGAGCGTGCGCCAGGTTGTCTCGATCAACTCGTGGTCGCCCGCGCGGCTCGCCGAGTCGAGGAAGATGGACAAGGGGTTCCGGAGGATAGAGGCTTGGGCGGGATCAACACGCTCCTCCACCACTTCGACGGCTTCGGCGCCCTCTTCCGCCTCAGGTGGCGGGACCATGCGGCGCCGCATGCGGACGAACCGCTGGCGAACAGCCGCGTAGACGACTTGGAAAATCTCGTAGAGCTTCGTAATCGTCTCCTCAGCCATGTCGCCCGACGACGACATCTCCTTGTTCCGCAGCGTGCCCATGAGAATGGTGTAAAGCCGGATGCGGGACACGACGAGGTTGGAGGCCCCGCGAGGTCCGCCGCTGTACTGGAAGAGATAGTCGATAAGCTGCTGCGCCTCGTCCGCCTCGCCGCGACGCGCAAACTCGGCGAGAATCGGCCAGTAGATCGTCTCGAGCGCCCGAAGCGTCGCAGCGGGCTTGTCGAGTGCGACTGGCTGCGGCGTCGACGACGGGATGTTGTTCTGCTTGAGAAAGTACCGCGTCTCCTTGACGAGCGCATTGAGCGCCCGCGGGTCGACATGGTCTGTCTGCTCCCGCAAGCTCGAGACCTTGGCCGCGACGAGGAGCGCAAGCGTGTGCGACCCCAGCCTCATGCCGCGCACGCGCATCTCGGTCAACATCGCGTCCGCCTTCTCCCGCTGGCCGGTGCGCAAGTAGCCGGCCATCATCGACGTGAAAAGGACCTGGTCGGGCTCAATGACTTCGGTGCCGATCGGACGGTGCGGCGAAAGCTGCCGCCGGTCGAGGATGAGGAAGAGGTCTTCCGCCTCGTCCATCAGGCCCGCGTTGCACAAGCTCTGCAAGACGAGGGTGTAGGTCGACTTGTTGGGTCGGACGCCGCGAGCGATGAGGTCGCGAAAGAGCTCGAGGACGAGGGTCGCGGGCGTCGCAGCGAGGATGCAGGCGCGGAGCATGACGTTGTAGACGACCGTGTCGGGCTGGAGGGTGCGGTCCGCGTTAAGCTGGAGATGCCGGTACAGCGCGAACGCAGTCGTCCACTGGCCGTTGTTGACGTAGGCAGAGAGGAGGATCGTCCAAGTTTCGAGGTCGGGCCGACAGCCGGCTCGCCGCATGTCGCGGATGATCTCCTCGATACTCGACGTGTCCCGCTCGGTCTGCAGCGCCTTCGTCAGGGCGTTCCAGCTCGATGTCGTAGGGTGGGCGTGCGGAAAGTCGCCTTCCGACAACTGCGTGAACAGCTCGTACGTCGACTTGACGTCGCCACGTCGTGCGAACCCGTACATGAGCGCGTTGATCGTGGCAAGCGGGACGACCAGGCCAGCCTGGAGCATCTCGCTGACGACCTTGAGCGCGCCCTCGACATCGTTCACCTTGAGATGCGCAAGCGCCATCTGACCACGCAGACGGTACTGCTGCCACGAAGTCGCGTCCGCCTGCGGACTCTGCTCGAAAACCTCCTTGGCTTCCTCGAGCCGGAATCGCGACGCCTTCGCCCGCAGCCGTCGCGCAGACAGCTTGAGCGTCTTCTTGTCGTCCACGCCGGCGCCTTCGAGGCTCTCGAGCAGGCGGTCTGCGATCTCGGCGCGACCCTGGTCCGACGCGAGCTTGGCGAGCACGTCGAAGGCGTTCTTGGCGAACGCGTTCATGGCGGGCGCGGCGGCATACGCGGGGTCGTCAGGGAAGGACTCGACGGCCTTGGCGTCGGATGCGAGAGACTTGGCGAGCGCCTCGAGTTCGGTCGTAAAGCGATTCGCGTCCTCATACAGTCGCTGCTGAGTCAAGCCGTGCACGAGAGGCGTCATGGTGCGGATCTTCTCCTGTTCGTCGAGGCGGTCCGTCAATCGCTCCGACTGAAGCTCGTCCAGCGGCTTGTCGATGACCTTCCAAATCTGCAGCGCCTGTAGTGCCGAACCCGACCTCGCGAGATGCCGTACGAGGTGCGTGCCGAGACTGAGCGGGTCAAAGCCGAGGCCTAGTCGCAACTCGTCTGGGTCCGCATTCGCGATCTCCTCCTCAAACCATCGCTCTGGCTCAGGATCCAGCCGCGCAAGGACCTTGCCGTACCGCCGCCGCAAGATATCGTTCCACGCCTTCTGCTTCCGCTCGGTGTCGGCGGACGGGAAGTGCTCGGGAGGAAGGAGGAGGTCGAGGATCTGATGGACGTGGTGGGTGTGGAGGAGGCGGAGAGCGGTGATGGAGCATGCATGGGACGCTGCGGGTTGTGGCGCGCGAAGCCAGGCTTCGAAGAGGTAGACGAGTGCAGTTTTCGCCTGCTCAATCTGTCGATGCAGCTTGTCGGCGAACTCGGGCTTGTCGAACGTTGGTAGTGGGTCGATGCGTAGCCGAAAAAGCTGCGAGATCGACTGGCTGAGCTCGTCGGCGCCCGGCTTGCCCATCTGCTCGATCGCGACGGCGATAGCCTCGACGTCGTCCGAAAGACACGCAATGTCGACCCGCGCCAAAGCTGCCTGCCGACTCGCCGAGACGAGACCACCCTCCTTCGAGTCCATCGACGGCAAAGTCGCCATGACCATCCGCATCGCCTCCGCCGCTGCGTGCCGCAAGTCGCTAAACTCCTCCTCTTCGGGTGCGATCCCCTCGTCACGCAAGCCGGGAAAGATCTTGTGCGGCGAAGGCGGGCGGACAGCTCGGATGACTCGTCCGATCGACGCGACGAGGCGGACTCGCTGCTGCAAGGCGAGGGCATTGATGAAGTCGGCGTCTTGGGCGGCTTCGACGAGCAGTTCGAGGGCGGCGCGAGCCTCGTCGTGCGACAAGTCCCGGATCGGTTTTCTTCGCTGGTTCGCGGCGGAGGGTGTTCGGGAGGGAGGACTTGTCCAGCCACGCGGAGAGGGGAGGATTCGAACATCAAAGCCGAGCGCTTCGCGGGTGAGCAGCTCGTGAAAGCGATCTGCGGCGGAGGATTGCGCTGAAGGACCCATCGTTGGTCGTGATGGCGAGTCTGCAGAAAGTCGTCAATACGTTTGAGCGCCTTTGCGCCTTTGGAACGAAGGGAAGGGTGCTTACGGCCGTCTGACCCGCTCGGCGCATCTGCAGAGCCTGGTGGGTCTCCTTCAAGTCTTCGCTCGGCCGCAATGACAGCCGCATCGCTTTCTAATCGCCTCTCCACCGCCGCCTCTATTCCCGCGCTTGTCGAACTCGCCCGACACCGCAAGCAACCATGCCGCACCCGTCCGCACACGCACCTTCCGCCGTCTATTCGAGCCATGCTTCGCCGCAATCCGCTTGCCGCTATCGTCGCTCGGCTGGGTAGTAGTGGCGGGGCGTAGGAGTGAGGAGAAGGGCGCCAGGACCGTACATCGAAGGGTTCGAGTTGGGGTTTTGGAGGAGGCGGAGGGGGAGCAGCGAAGGACGAGTGGCGCCAATCGGGCTGGAACTGCGGTGGCGAGTGGAGGACCCATGACGAGGGCGTGTCGAGCTGCAGAGGGGGTATTGCTGGACTTGGCGGCTTCTTTGGGAGCGATCGCGAGAAGAAGCCGAATCCTCCAGGGTGTCGAGAGAGGTACGGCGGCGGTAGCAGGGGTGGTTGCGCCTGAGCCGTGGACGCAAGTTCCGTCGCTGTGCTGTACGGTGCCGCATCTGGCGGGGCGGATCGGGCTTTTGCTGGCGTGCGAGATCGGCACGAGCAGCAGCAAGCGAGAGGAACGGGAGGTGCTCGTCGCAGGGCGGGCGAGACCAGTCGGGACATGCCTCCGTGGCCGCACCAGTCTGTGAACGGATCTGCAGTGTCAGCTCACGCCTTGCACGGGTGCCACAGCGCCGCGATGAGCGCACCTCGTCTCCTGAGATCAGACGACGGCGACGAGCTCGTGCGACTTGCGTGGCGGGCTGGCTGGGGTGAGGTAGCAGTCTGGAGCCAGCTATCAGCCTCTCTGAGCCCCTCGAGCGGCAGATGGAGCGAGACGGAGACTGTTCGAGGTCGACTCTCCTCCTGAAGAAGCTGGACGAGGTTAATCTCCTCCGCCTCGCTTTTTCTCGCGCTAGACTCGCTCAGACAGCGCCAGAACTCGCTCAGGATGGCAGAACAACCCATCGAAGGCGCCGCACCGAGCCTGCTCGTCTTGGGACCCGTCAGCGCCCTCATCTTTGGCTTCACGTCCGGCCTCGTCTCGTCCAGCAAGCTCGCGTCGAAGCAGTTCCTCGCAGAGAACGCACACAGGCTGCCGACGACCGTGCAGGGGTGCGTCCAGCTTTCCCGGTCTCGAGTAGACCTGACCTCGCTCACCTCGTTTCCTCTCGTCGCTCGCAGCTGGTATTTCTACCAGAAGACCAAGAACTATCGCGTCCTATTCGCCGGACTCAAGGGCGGTCTCAAGACGGGCGCACGGCTAGGGCTGTGGACAGGCGCCTTCCTCGGACTCGAACAAGCGGTCGACGCGGGTCTGCGGCAGGGACTCGTGCTTGCTGGGCGGAGAGCGGACGAGGTGCGGACGACGTGGGCGGCGGGAGGAGCTGCGGGAATGGGAATGGCTGGAGCAGCGAATTGGTTCTGTGCGTTTCGGTCCTTTGCCTCATCCACCTTGCGCTTATACGACTTACTCTTCACGCAGACCGATTATCACGCGCTTCGTCGGGTCGACGGTACTTCTATGGGCTTGCGCTGGGCGCTCTTGCCGGAGGAACGGTCGATGTACGAGATTGGATGAAGGAGCGGTTAGCAAAGGAGGCGTGACGGCAGCTGGAGCTTGCCCGTCGTTCAATCAGCTCCAAGCTTCAGGCGTGAGTCCAGACGGCGCAGCGCGGAAGGGGCGCGAGGACGAGGAGGAGGCCCAAGGCCAAGGTGCGTCTCTTGCAGCGGTTGCCAGCTTCGCGGGACTGACAAGTCTTCGTCAGCTCGACGAGATCAGCTCCATCGCCGCGACAGACGATTATACCCACCCACTCTACGATACCCAGTCGACCGACCCATTCCTCAAGTCGTGCGACTCTGCAGAACATTCGCATCTCGACCTCGATACCGTTTTCTCCGACGAATGCCGGCGCTGTTGGGGCGTCCGTCGGTCGCTGCAAGGTCAAACACTGCATTGCAAGTCTGTCGACACTGTCAACATCGCAGTCGAGCGGGATGCGGAGGGGTGAGAGGGAGAGATAGGGGATTTTTGGCCAAGGAATGCGATTTTCTCGCTCGTCTCGCACTGCGGCGCGTCTCTCGCTTCTGGGATCGTGTCAGGATGTCCCTGCCGTCACGGCGGGCGAGAAAGAAGCGCGCTGGCTGGTGAAACGGGACAAGGATGGGTCGATCGCCCTTCGTGTTCCCAACGAGTTGCTTTCTGTCGCTGTCTTCGCTCTCTTTCTCGTCCAAGTCCGCTGTTGCACTGGTAGAAGTCTCCCAGACCTCGACTAGACGCTATCCAGCCAGCCACAGCCAGTCCCAGCGCTCGCTCGACTCCCCAACTCGCCGCTCACTCCGCACGTCCCTCGAAGCCTGCGCTCGAGGACACGCTCGTGCAGCTTGCAGTACCCGATAGAGTGCGTTACACGTCCCACTACACCCGCCAGCCCTTTCAACGGCGTCGACAGCTCGACTTCGCCTCCCACACCCCGCATCCACTCGCTCGACAACGCCAACACCCTCGCACGGCGCTAGGACGCTCAGTAACACGCCTGCTGACACGCACAGCACCCGAAACAGCTCCACATACCCGTCCCCGCCCGTTCGCACCCTCCCACACCTCGCAACCCGGCAACCATGGCAATCGACGCTGCACCCGCCGTTCCCGGCCAGAAGAAGCAGATCCAGTGGTCCAACATCGCCCTCGGCGGTATCATGAACATGTTCGAGGTGCGCTCCGCTCTCTCCTCATCTCACGGACGACGGAGGACACCTGCTTCGGAAGTTCACGCTGACCCGGCTAACTCGCGCTTTCGCTGGGACGGAACGCAGGTCACGACGCTCGGACAGCCGCTCGAGGTCGTCAAGACGCAGATGGCGTCGGCGCGCGGTGACACGATGGGTCAGGCCTTGCGGACTGTCTGGTCGCGCGGTGGTGTTCTCGGATGTGCGTTCACGCCGTTCTTCCTTGCCTGCTCTGCCTCGAAAGCGGCACAGCTGACATCTTCGCTCGCGATGTCGTACAGTCTACCAAGGCTTGATCCCCTGGGCCTGGATCGAAGCCTCGACAAAGGGCGCCGTCCTCCTCTTCGCCGCGGCAGAAATCGAGGGCGTCGCCATGACCGCCGGCATCGGTCCTGCGGCGGCTGGATTGCTCGGTGGAATGGGTGGCGGTGTCGCGCAGGCTTACGCGACTGTCGGTGCGTTCTCATTTCGCTCGTTCGCGGGCCACGAGCGGCTCTTTTCGCTGGTCCGGCTCGCTGACGAGCAGATCTTGCGTATGCAGGTTTCTGCACGTGCATGAAGACTGCCGAGATCACGAGGAGCAAGATGGCCGTCGGCGGGCAGAACCCTCCCTCTACGTGCGTATCCTTCCCTTCTTCTCTTATTCCTCCGCCTGACATACCTTCAACTTGCAGCTGGCAACTCTTTGCAGAGAAGTGGCGCAAGGAGGGTCTGAGGGGTATCAACAAGGGTGTCAACGCTGTTGCGCTCCGTCAGATGACCAACTGGGGTTCCCGGTGCGTCTCGCTCCATCATCTTCCGGTTGCGGACGAGCGCACTCAATGCGCTCGGGTCAGCTCGAAGCGATGATGGAACGCGCTGACGGGATGTATCGCCTCGCAGCATGGGATTCGCCCGTCTCGCCGAAGGCGCAATTCGCGACGCGCGCGGTATCCCCGAGGACAAGAAGCTCGGCGCGCTCGACCGTATCGCTGCTTCGACTGTCGGTGGTGCGCTCGGATGCTGGAACCAGCCTATCGAGGTCGTTCGAGTTGAGGTGAGTTTGGCTCGCATACCTTGACGGATCTCGCCTGCCACGAAAGGCCTGGCCGTTTGAAGGCGCTCGAGATTCACTGACGCTTGTCATGCGCAGATGCAATCGATGGCCAAGGGCGCCTCGTCCGACCCTTCGCGTCCCGCCAAGCCCACGATTGCCAACACCCTCGCGTACATCTACCGCGAGAACGGCATCAAGGGTCTCTACAGGGGTGTCACGCCTCGCATCGGTCTCGGCATCTGGCAGACGGTGCGTCGCCCTTCTCCACCGTTTCCTCGACTTTCTTGACCAGGGCTGACGAGTCGTGTATGGACAGGTCTGCATGGTCTCTTTCGCCGACGTCGTCAAGGACTGGCTCGCCGCCAACAAGAAGTAGACGCCTCTCTACCCCATCTCCCGCCTCAAAAGGACGCTCGTCTCCGCCGTCTCGCGCGTCACTCCCTCTCTGTTTCCCCAGGGCTCCCTCTCTCGGTCGTTCGTTTTCCGTGGTTCCGTTTCTCGTCTTTGCAGTCGCACATAGAGCAGTTTTCTCTTCAGGTCAGCCTTGCAGAGGAAGCTGGGAACGAGAGGAAGAGAACACCGCGCGGCGGGAAGAGCGGGTCGACCTCGGCCGACTTGCTCCTCGCTCTCTCGCTTCGCTTCACCTCGACGATCCGGCTATCCGCTGATCCAGACAGTCTCAGGACATCTAGCAGAGTCTATCGCCCGGCCCCCAACAGCTCATCACCGCTCCTCCCCTCCTCACCGCGCTATCTGTCGAGCCTTATCGCGCCGCAACAACCCCTTCGCAGGGCGAGCATGTCGGACATAGCGTCGTTACCGAGTGTCAAGGTGTCGCAGAGGGCGTCGAACGCGTGCTCGGAGTGCTCGAGGAGGGTGAGCGCGGGTCGTTCGCTTTGACAGAGGAGGAGGCGTGTGGAGATTCGTGTAGGGTATATGGCGGCTTGGAGAGCGTCTGAACTGACGAGTGTCTTTGCCAATCCCCTTTCTGTCGACGCTGGAACGATTCCCTCGTCTTCTCCCGTTGGCACCTCAGAAAACAAGATGGTTCGTCGTCCACCCTCAAAGCTTTCTCGTCTACCTCGCACTGACCGCAGACCCGTCGCAGTGACAAGGAGGTCCCGTGTGGGCAGTGTACGAAGCGAGGAAAAGCGCACCTCTGTCACCGCGTTCCGCATGTCCGGCCAAAAGACGCAGAAATGTACGCTCGCTCGGAGGCTCAACCCGCTCTTCTTTCTCTTTATAGGCCTTCTCACGCTCGGCATGCTGACTTGACTGCTTGCAGCCTACGCCAGACCATGTCGCTCAATTCGGCGCAACCTCCCACGGCCCCGCTTCCCTCCGTCTCCCCGCCAAACCCGTCTCTACCGCATCTCTCGCCTCCAACCTACTCTCACCCTCACCATCACGGTTCACTCGCGGTATCGGCTATTGCGGAAGTCGATGCGATGCGCACGACAATCGATGGCTTGCGGACGAGACTTGCGGGACTTGAGGGAATTCTAGCGACGGTGCTCGGTGGGCACGGCAGGACAGCCCCTGCCGTAAAACCAGCTATGAATGCTACAGGGGGATATGGCGCGCCGACTTCAACGCCCAGTTTCGCAGGTCCTGCTCTATCGGCGCACTACCTGAACGACTACGCCCTCGCTTCGCCCTACGCCTATCTTCCCTACCAGTCCGCACCGTCTCCTGTCCCTCTTGCACGGTCCTCATCATCGAATGGGTCCGCATCGAATAGTGTGCCTCAGCCTTGCACCACCGCGACGCATTCCTCCTCGACTACCGCCATCGACCCTCCCGCTGGGGCCGGTCTTGCTTCTACAACTTTTGAACACTCACCTAGCTTCAGCCACTCGCGTCCTGAGCTGCGCGAAGAAGAAGTCGCGGCGAGTCTGAGCCTGGAGTGGATGGTGCGTCCCGTGTGCCCGCTCTCTTGCCTTGCACTGTGGGCTGACTGCTAATTCCTCAGGCGCTCGGTCGTACGAACGCGGCGAGCTTCCCGCAACAGTCCCCGCAAGCTGCCACGGTGCGTAGTCGAGACGTAGCGGAGGGTTGAGAAGGTCGAGGCTGACTTGCCGGTCTTCCTCCTCCTCACAGGCCCGCCTCGGCTCGCCCGCAAGCGACATGCCCTCTTCAGTCTTCCCTTTGCCCTCCGACACAACGCCCGTCCATCCCCTTGACCAATTCCCTACTCCCGCCTCGCTCGCCGAAATCCTCCCGCCAGACGACGAGCTCGAACGCATCGCACACCACGCTCTCGAATGGACGAACTGGCTTCACGCTGCGATCCACGGCCCAACTTTTCGAGCGGAGGTGCAGGAGTTCCTTGAGGCGCCGCGAGAAGGACGTCTCGATAGGGCCGATCCTGCCTGGCTCGCTCTGCTTTTTGCTCAGCTGTGTTGCGGCGTCAAGCACATGACGGAGGAGCATCTCAAGTCGCTCGCAACGTCGGGGCTGAACCAGCGTGAGTCCTTCGCAGCGAAAGCGCAGACTTCCGAGCTGATTTTCCTCCACCGCGCAGACGAAGCCGACGCACGGTCGAAGCAGTATCTCGAAGCCGCCCTCGCCTGTCTCTACCGAAGCCACTTCCTCGTCGACCGGCAACTCCACGCCGTACAAGCCATCGTCGTCCTCGTCGTCGGCTGTCAAGACGGAACTCCCTCGAACCTCTTCCCGACGCTCCTCTCGCTCGGCATCGCTCTTGCGCAAGATCTAGGTCTTCATCGCCTACCGTCCGACGAAGACTTTGCTGCTTCGATCGCAGGGATGCCCAAAGCCGGTCGGGCGAGAAGTCTTGTCGAGTTCCAGACGAAAAAGAGGGTTTTCTGGTCGCTCGCCTGCCAGGACTGGTTCAACGTACGTCACAGCGAAATCCTAGCCTACACAAAACTGACTGTCTCTCACAGATCGTCTACCGCCGGACCACGGCGATCCAACCGACGCAGGTCACAACGCCGCTGCCTTCGAACGCTCACGACGAGTGCGTACGCAGTCCATCGTGCCTGCAGGAGCCTGTCTAATTGCTTGTCGTGTCCGCAGAGACTTGTTGACCGGCACGCTCATCAATCGCCCTCCCAACAAGTTCACGGTCGCCGGCAAAATGCTTGTCTGGATCCAGGTCGCTCGTCTCGTCCAACAGGTCTTCCAGCACATAGACGAGAACCCGAACCCATCCTACGCCGTCGTACTCGACCTCGACGAGCAACTGAAGCGGCTACTCGCGAACGCACCCGCTTGGCTCACCTCGAACGCTGTTGAAGACCCGAACCTCCCGCCCAATGCCGACTGGTTGCGCACGACTTTCATCATCTCCAGCTCGCATAAGACGTTGACGCTCCATCGCAACTTCTTCCGGCGATTCGAGCCGTCTCGGCGCCGGACGCTTGAGGCGAGTCGAGCGATCTTGAGGGAAGCGGCGAAGGTGGGAGACACAAGGATGTGGACGATACCCGTGAGTTCACCAGCAGCTCAGCGCATGCAGGTACTGATCCGTCCGGCCGAACAGTATCATATCAGCGCAGCAGCATCGTTAGTCTGCCTCGACCTGTTCCAGCGCATCTCGCCGCCCGCCATCCTCGTCGCCGAGCGAGAAGAGGTCGTCACCGCGCTTGACGCCCTGCGCCGCATGTCGTCGTTCTCAGCCATCGCAAGTCGCGGTGCAGCGCTGCTGTCGAGCCTCTTGCTCGAGGAGAGCAGGCTGCCTCCGATCGCGGTGCCCGCGCGACAAGCAGACGAGGGCGAGGAGCGACCGTCGAAGAAGCAGCGGACCAACTCAGCACCGACGCCAGCAACGGCGGATTCAGCGCAGACGCCACATTCCGCACCCGCCGTCTCATCCGCCTCGCTCGCTCACCTTCTCGCGACTCCTCCTGCTCCGCCATTCGCATTACCGTCCGGCATCGTCGTTGCGTCACCTTCACCAGCATCGCAACCCGCATCGTTCTCCTCGGTAGCGTTCCCTCCACCCCAAGCCGGGTTCGAGCCGAACATGCTCGGACTCTTCGACGACCTGCCGCCCTCCTTCATGAGCGCATTTCTCGAGGCGGGTTTCGACCCGCTAGATGGTGGATGGGAAGTGTAGCTGAGCAGCAGAAGCCCGCGGTAATAGTTCCGAGTGAGGAATTCGTAGCTTTGGTGGCCTGGCAAAACTGTGAGCGAGAGACGGCGCAGCGAGTACCGAAAGTGCATCGGAGTGCCGATATGAATGAATTGCTGCTAAAGGTATACACCGCGAGGTGGCGGTCGAGAGTCGGAGGAGGGAGTCGAAGTTGCGGGCAGCGGCGCGGGTGATGATTGCTGAGCGGGTCGAGGAGCAGGTGCAATGGTTGGCGCAGAAGTCGGGAATGTTTTCCCTGCTTGCCGAGCCGACTCGGCGGCGTCCGCCTCTTGCAGTACTGGAGGACAAGAGAATCAGCATGTCCTCCGGGCGGCTCGGTAAAAGCGCAGGGCGCACCTGCATCCCAGTCCGTCTCGTCGTTGTCTTCCTGATACTCCTTGCCCTTCTTCCCGAACAGCATCTCGCTCCAGGTCGTCTGCACCTTGACACTCGATTCTGCATCGACGACCTCCTTCCCAGCTCCCCGCCCTAGACCGACCAGCTCCAGCTCGCGCTCAATCTCCTCCTGTTCTGTTTCGGATAGTGTCCGTCCTTCCCCAGTCCGCAAACGAGCGAGGAGAGATTCGAGGAGCGAGACTTGGGCCCGAAGTCGCGCTCCTTCCCGTTCCCGCGCAACGCGCTGATAGGAAAGGTTCAGCGCGGTCGAGGAGAGAAGAGAGACGAGGATGAAGGGGTAGATCGCGGCGGCTGTGAAGAAGGGCGGGCGTTCTGTCGGCGGTAGGCGGGGAGGAGGAGGAGGGGGAAAGGCGGACGAGCTGGCGCCCCTGGACGTTGTGGGACGTGGCGGGCTGGTCCTGGCAGCTGGTTTGCACGCTGTCGCAGCTCTTCGTAGCATCGCGTGAAGTCGACGAGCGAGAAAGCGGCTTCATCTCTTCCGATCCTCCTCATGCCGCAATTTCGACTCGACGCGACTGGAAGGCTGCTGAATGAGCTCGAGCACTTTCTGATCCCTCGCAAATCAGTGTTATTACAGGCGAGCCTCATACGAGCGATGTCCAGCGGTTGGAAGGCTTCTCGCTCTCGCTTTACAGCGTCGCTAATTCGCTCCGCCAGCGATGCAAGTCAGACATCGCTACAACAACAAGAAACACTGCATCTGTCGCGCGTTGGTCGCCGCGCGTCACTCCTCCTCCTGCTTGACCTCGTCGCCCTGCTCGACCGCATTCTTCGCCTTCGCCGCTCGCCGAGTCGGTATCCGGACACCTTGCTTCGCGAAGCATTGCGAGAGGGATGTAGGATCTGTGCAGGACTGAAGTCAGGCCGACTGGACCGAACGAGGAAGGAAGCGTGCGTACCTAACATCCCCGTGAATCGCTTCGCGGTGAACACTTGAAACTTGTCTGTGAGGACGGCAGCGCTTGACAAGCTGTTCGCCCCGCTCATGGACTGCCTGCGAAGAGACTGGAGTTGACTTCGCTAAGCAGGAGAGCAATCAGGCGGTAATGAGACGTACCGCAGGTCGACAAGTCGCAATCTGAGGCGGAAAGCGCCTTCCGTCCGGACACTCAGATCGGGCAAGACGAAGTACACGCCCTTCTCGCCGTCGAGGCCGCGCAGCTTGTACGCGTTCGTGTGCAGAGTGCCGATCAGGTTTGGTACTAGCGCAGCCTCCGTCTCGCCGTCCTCGCTCGATGAGCCATTCGTCAAAGTTCTCGCGCTGTCGGCAGAGTAGGCGGGTCGATTGAAGCGTGCATAGGGGATAAATGCGGCGGAGGGCGGCGGAGAGGGACGGTGCCGTTTCGAGGAGGATGAGGAAGAGCTGGTGGGCGAAGAACGTTTGTTCTGAGGCGGCACTGGCCGAGCGGGAGGCGGTTGTGAGGGCGAAAGTCGGAGGACGGGAAGCCCTGCTGCTAATTGCGCAGGACTGTCTGCCTCTATCGGACGCGCTGATTCTTCGGCAAGCGAGAGCAACCGCGAGACGCTCATCTTGTGCTCCGCATTAGGTAAAACCGCCTCTCGCGTCGTGGGAGAGGGCGAAGGCGTGTCCGCGTGAGAGTGCTGCGAAGGCGAGCGGCTCGAGGTGGTCGACGAAGCGCGCAAGCTGGGCGTGCGATCTGGGCGAGAGGCAGTGCTTCGGTGCTGCTGGACCAAGTTCGCGTCGTCCCAGCCGTTGGGTCCGCGCAGGTCCGCAGCGAGAACGAGGAATGTCGGGTCGATGCCTCTGGCAAAAGCGAGAGTCAGGAGACGAATGGGTACAACTTCGTTCACAAGCAACGCACTCAACTTCCACTTCCCTCCCCGTCGCTGCATCCGTGCTACTCAGCTTGACGATGATGGGCGGAGAGATAGGTCGTCGGTCCTGCGCAGCCAGGTGTGAGCACAAGACGGCTGCTCAACGATCGGTCGTTCAGACCGCACCTTGTCGCCAAAACCGCACATCCGTGCTCGTACAGGTTGCTGGACGACCGTGAGAGAGTAGATGCTGCGGCACGAGGGGAGTCAGCACGCACCAGTGGAGGATGAGGAGTAGGTGTGAACGGACCGTCTGCTCGAAGGTCCGGCGGTAGGTGGCGAAACAGGCTCGTCCATCGAGTCGTCAGCAAAGCAGAGGCATAGAGGGAGAGCCAAGCGTTCGGGCGGCGAGCACGACCTGCGGCGACGTCGAGCAGCGAACCCGCAATCGAGATTATCGCGCAGTCCGAGTAGCTGCGCCGGAGGTGTGGATCCGCGTCCATACGACAGACAGCGTTTGTAGTCAAACCGTAGGCATCTGTTGGGTCGAGAGGATCATGTACGGCGGATCTAGAGGGCACCAAGCGCTCCAACGTCGAGCGAAGAGGATGCCGCGGCGTCTCGCAGTGCTGCGAAAAAAGTTGATCAAGGTCGGCACGCGAGCCGAGTCGGCCGATACCAGGACAGCGGCATCCGAGCAGTTCCCAAAGCAAGCCGTAAGGCCGGCGTCGGCTTGAACAGTCCGGACCCCTGTTGTGAGGGAGGGACCGCTGTCGGCGAGGAGGAGCGGCGGCGTGTCCTGCATCTTTCTCGTCATGCGGATGCTTCGGCTCCAACGTCAGCTCGGTCAACACGCTGTGTGCAACCGCACAGCTGGCGCGCTCGGTTCCGACGCGCTGTGAGCTGATAACGATATCTGTCTGTCGGTAGTTGCCGCGGCTTCTACAACTTCGAAACCTTGCCCTGCTCGATCTGCGGGCGTCGTCAGCTTGTGTCGTATGGATGAAAGTGCCGGCAGCTTGCGGACGCACCTGCACAACCTTGCGAAAACCCTGGATGAGGTCGCGCTTCAGATCCTCGAAGTCCTCGAGACCGATGGACAGGCGGACTGCACAGCAAGGTGAGTCAGTTCAGACCTGTTGGAGTCTGAAGGCAGGCAAAGGACGAAAGCTGAAGACGTACTGAGTCGCGGGTCTGCGTTCGGGTCGGACAAGCTGCGCTGCTCGATGAGCGACTCGACGCCGCCTAGGGACGTAGCGGGCTGTATCGTCGACATCTCGTCAGTACTTGACATGTCCCCAGCGGAAATCGGGAGCGCACGCACTACAAAGAACTTGAGTGAGTGTGGCAAGTGCGTCGCGTACTCGGGCTTCTTGAGCAGCATCCCAAACGTCGCTGGACCCTTCTCCATCTGCTTTCCCTCGCCCAACAACTCCGCCCTATCCTCCTGCAAGCTCGTGTGCCAGACTTTCTCGACAACGCCGCCTGGACCGTCGAGATCCGAGCCTGACTCGGCGCGGGTGAGCGACGCGAGCCATTGGGC